TCAACAGAAGAAAGAAACTTGAGAGAGTAAATGATGACAATTTAAATTTTTGGGAGAACTATCCCTTTAATGTTAATAAAACAACAAAACACAGAGGAAATCACTCACTGCTCTTGACTGAGAACTTTAATAGAAGCTTTAATAAGCTTTTTTTGCACTTAAAAAAAATACAAATATATCGGTATCGGCATCGGCACCGGGCAAAATTAGTTTGAAAATATCGGCATATCGAATATCGGCCAAAATCCAATATCGTGCATCCCTAAAAAAAGGCTATGTGGATAATTCCGCTGTGGTGACCCCTAACTGGAGGCAGCCAGAAGAGAAAGTAAGAGATGCATGAAGAAAAAAGTAGAAGAAAATATAATTTAAAAACTTTTATGTTGGCCATACACTGATTTCTTCTGTCATGGTAACTCGCAAGCATGTTCCCAGCCGTAGTTTTGTCAAGTCAAGTCACCTTCATTTATATAGTGCTTTTAACAGTATGGATTGTTTCAAAGCAGCTTTACAGTTATAATAGAAATGACCGTAACAGATTGTTTAGGCTATACAACAGCATTAGGATAAAGTTATTGTCCAGCTAAAGTTAGTTTTGATTGATTCACTTCCGTTGCAAAGATCATTAGTTATTAACTTACACGACACCGTTCTAACAGAAAAACTCTTAATGCGCTCCGGTCGCCCATCCGCACAAAACAGTGCCTGGTGTCTCGAGAACGCACTCCCTGAAATAGGTTTGAATGTGCAAACGATTATCCGTTATCTCTGCGCAAACCTCAAAAACGCAAACCCGCGAATCTGTACATCACGTGTTTCGTCCATAGGTATGCACGTTTGAATTCGTTCGGGTCACATGACATCACTGTAGCTTTGCGCCGCCGTCTTTACGACCGACGGTGAGACAATCGTCTCAATGGTAATCGTCATTACCAACATGTTGTGCAGTTGGCTGCAACAACAGCCGAAAGAGGAACCCCGAACTGGTATTTTATACCAAAAGAAAATTATAGAAGAAAGAAGTGTTGCTCTGCATGTCTTTTGTATCATGTCTCATCTTTCTGTGCGCACACACACCCGACCCGAAGCGTGCAGCCATAGACCCCTATACAGCACGCGAGTAATGAATTGAGCTCTGTTTGAATGGACAAATACACACAACATTATGTTTAAATGTCCATTTTGGAGAGTATTCACGTAAAATATGTGGGGTTATGTCTTAAACCAAGTTGTCATCCAGTCTCTTTGGTAGAGAGAGAGAGAGAGAGAGAGAGAGAGAGACGAGGAAAACAAACAAGCATGCAAATGGAAATTATCACGGTCGGAAAAATTATCGAGCTAATTTTTTTTATCGTGCAATTAATTGATTTATTGACTATCGCGACAGGTCTAATCCAGATTAACGACAGCTAGCCGTGAGCCGTGGCTAACAGCTGGCAAGCTACCAGCTGTTAGCCACTTAGCTAGCTAACACCTCGCTACCTAGTCAGAGCAAACTACCACCAAAATCATACATTTGAATTTTTTTTAATAATACCTACATTTCCCATGATTAAATATAAATCCTTGGTGGCCAGGTGCCGCACTTTTACGTATTTTACCCATCCAGCCACAGCATATTGATATGCATCGGTACTTTTGAAAGCCTTCAAGCGATCCCCACTGTATGGGGAGGGGATATGCACAATGCACATGGAAGGCAAATTGGGGCAAGTCTGGGCCAGATAATAATGGACAAAAGAAAACGGGGTAACAAATAAGGATCGGAGCCTAAAATTAAAATGTTCTCCAGGTATCTCTGTCTCTCTCTCTCTCATTCAAATGGGCAGTTTGGGTGGCCATACCGGGCGAGACCGGTCGTAAGTATGGCGGCGTTCTATTTGGTAGTGACGTAAGTGGCATCTATGAATATATATGTGCGCAGGCGTGTAGTCCTTCACAAGTCAACCCTCAACAAACTACTTGTCTGGTCTTAAAAATGTATAATACAGAAAATTGTGTCGCGTCTGCGTAGCCACGCCAACCGGAATTATCCCGACAACATTTTATCTGTACAGAGGTAAAGGGAGGGAGACCTTCACAGGGGAGAGACTAGTTGACACTTCAGGACTGCGTTGTCGTCGTGTCCAGGCGCTGGTCCTTCATCAGATCTGGATACGGCCTGGATCCGGCGGACTGCGGTAAACAGGGATGGAAATGAACTTTTTCACTGTGGCTGGTGGATTCCAAAATCTACCAGCCACTCAATGTTTTTACCAGCCACTTTCTTGTTTTTAACCAACAATGTGTAACTGCATGTGAAAATTAATACTACAAGATCTACAATACTTAAGCCATTTATTCCATAGGGTAAAGTCTCAAGGCGTGCCTCCTCTAAAAGTGTCCGGGTGAAACAGCATGCTACTTTTATTTACCCGCCACGGTGGCTGGTAGGTGAAGCAAGTTTACCAGCCACAACACAAAATCACCAGCATTTGGCTGGTGGCTGGTGCTAATTTCCATCCCTGGCGGTAAACCTCGGGATAAACGGAGAGACTAATACTAGTGTAGACGCCATCCTTTTTATGATGTACCAAGTACATCAGGATTTATGGAAAGTGTTCCCAGTTCTGGCTGATCTAAACTATGCAGCCTAACATTGAATTATAGAAGTCTATAATGTGTTACGTGCATGCTAGGCCAAAGAGATTTGTTTTTAGTCTAGATTTGAATTGACTGTGTCTGCTTCCCGGACAATGTTAGAAAGATTGTTCCTAAGGTTTGGTGCTAAATACGAAATGGATCTACCGCCAGCAGTCGATTTTGATATTCTGGGTATTATCAACTGGCCGGAATTTTGAGATCGCAATAGACGTGAAGGACTATAATGCGTTACTGGGGAGCTAAACCATTTAGTGCTTTGTAAGTAATCAGCAATATTTAAAAATTTATACGATGTTTAATAGGGAGCCAATGCAGTGTTGACAGAACCGGGCTAATATGGTCATATTTCCTGGTTCTGGTAAGAACTCTAGCGGCTGCATTTCGGACCAGCTGTAGTTTATTTATTAAGCATGCAGGGCAACCACCCAGTAGAGCATTACAATAATCTAGCATTGATGTCATGAACGCATCATGAACTAATTGTTCTGCATTTTTAATTGAGAGCATATGACATAATTTAGATATATTTTTAAGATGAAAAAATGCGGTTTATACAGATACTAGACAAGTGACTTTCAAATGAAAGATTGCTATCAAAGAGCACACCCAGGTTCCTATCCGACGACGAGGACTTGACAGAGCAGCCATCAAGTGTTAGACAGTATTCTAGGTTATTACGTGAGGAAGTTTTTTGTCCAATAATTAGAATCTCTGTTTTTTCAGAATTAAGTAGTAGGAAATTGCTAGTTTTTTACATCAGCTATGCATTCCATAAATTTTGTGGATTGGTAAGTTTCATCAGGGCGTGAAGAAATATAGAGCTGAGTATCATCAGCATAACAGTGAAAACTAATGCCATGCTTCCTAATGATATCTCCTAAGTGTAGCATGTACAGAGTGAACAGCAACGGTCCTAGTACTGAGCCTTGTAGTACACCATACTGAACTTGTGATCGATAAGACATCTCTTCATTTGCTGCTACAAACTGATAATGGTCAGATAAGTATGATTTAAACCATGCTAATGCAATTCCACTTATGCCAACATAATTTTCAAGTCTATTTAAAAGAATGTTGTGGTCAATAGCATCAAATGCAGCACTAAGATCGAGTAACACTAATTGAGAGATACAACCACGATCGGATGATAATAGCAAATCATTTGTGACTCTAATGAAAGCTGTCTCAGTACTATGGTACGGTCTAAATCCTGACTGAAAATCCTCGCAGATACCATTTCTTTCTAAAAAGGAACATAGTTGGGAAGATACTGCCTTTTCTAGTATTTTTTTACAGAAAAGGTAGATTTGAGATCGGCCTGTAATTGTGTGTAAGAGATCGGCCTGTAATTTTGTGTAACGGCAGGTACTTGGGGTATGTGATTAAAAGTGTGGTTGTGATCAAAACATGTTGGTTGGCTAGATTACATTTTGTTAAACATTAAACAGTTTTAATGATCCACTTCACATTGAGTGGTTCTTTGTCTCCACAACCATAAAATGTGTAGTTTTCATTCTGATTCTTGTCACATAATTCTAGTTAAGTCAAATTAAATACATTATGTATAAATCATTTAAAAATATTTCGTACAGCCAGTATGAAATTCTCTCATGGAACACAAATAGAGATTTTAGGCAGAATGTTAGTTTGATTTTCCACTTACTTTTTTTGAGTGCTATATAGGTAACTGAGGATGAAAATAGGCTCACAGTATGAAGCTTTACTTGTAAATAGGAAGATACATTTTTGTAGCTCTGATTAATTTTAAATTGTATTTTTGGCCACCCCTGAAATGGGTAATAGGAATGACATAACCTTAAGTAAATGCGCTTAAAAAAACTCATTAAAGGACATGCATTCATTACATGGACAGAGCAAGAACATGGCGTAATTGTCTCAAATGGATATGCACAATTCAGTTGAATAATAAAGTTTACCCTCTTTAACTTATTACTGTTGAACTGAATGCAAAATTTCTGCTGAAATAATCAGACTGAAATAAGACTAAGCAATTTATCTATCATTCAGATGTGAGTGAAAGTTGTGTTTGCTACTAGCAACAGTACTCATCATTGGAAAAAAAAAAGTAAAAACAAACAAAATATTTTTGTAAATATTTTGAATGAAAGACCAACAGGATAGACAGCAAAGAATTTTTTTCACAGCCGTTTGCTAGTATTTACCAATGGTGGCAATATTAGTGGAGGGCACTGTATACATGAGGCCCTTGGACTTTGTGCTGACTTTATCGCTCAGCCCGCACCTATGTGTCACCGAGCAACGTGTTGGAGCACTTTAACTGTCTGCCTGGTCACATCTTGCTTCTATTTGTGTCTGTTTGTTATGAATGTGTATAGATGTTCAGACTCTGGAGGAGCTGAGTTTATGTGTGCTGTCTCGACTGGAGGAAGTAGTAAAGGAAAAGCATCACTGGAGGGAGATCACTGAGGCCCACGTGCAGCTGCTCAGAGACTTTGCCTTCCAGGAGTGGCTTTGTTCCCAGAGCCTGGAGCACTACTATCACACGTGAGTTCACATACACATTATTGCTAATCAGGTTTTTTAATGTTTTTGAAAGTAGTCTCTTAATCTCACCAAGGCTCCATTTTTTAATTATGAATACAGTAAGAACAATAATACTGTGAAATATTATTATAACTTAAATTAAATGGTTTCTGTTGTAATATATTTTAAAATGTATTTTATTCCTGTGATGGTAAAGCTGAATTTTTAGCATCATTACTCCAGTCTTCATTGTCACATGATCTTTTTTAGAAATCATTCTAATATACTGATTTGGTGCTAAAGAAACATTTCTTTTTATTATTAATGTTAAACACAGTTGTGCTGCTTATTTTTGTGGAAACTGATTTTCTTTGATGAATAGAAAGTTCAAAAGAACAGCATTTATTATAAATAGTTTTTTGTAATATTTATTAATTTCACAAATGTCTTTACAGTCTTTTTTTGTCAATTTAATGTGCTTTTGCTAAATAAATGTTAATTTATTTTATTTTATTTTTTTAAGTCATACGTACGTACCCCAAACTTTTGAATGGCAGTGTATCATGATTTCAAAAATAATAATAATAAAAAATTAAGCAACTAAAACATATAAGAAATTATCTTAGAATGATTTCTGAAAGGTCATGTGACACTGAAGACGGAAGTAATGGCTGCTGAAAATTCAACTTTGTCATCACAGGAATAAATTACATTTTAAAATATATTACAACAGAAACCAGTTAATTTAAATTGTAAAAATATTTCACAGTATTACTGTTTTTACTGTATTTTTGATCAAATAAATGCAACCTTGGTGAGATTAAGAGACTATTTTCAACAACATTTGTCCACAAGTTGGTATGATTCTTTAGGCGGGTCTTCATGTAAAGTTTGTAACATACTTTGGTTAAAATTCCTCAATGGTTGTGTAAAACAACACTCTTTTTACTTCCTCAAAACCAGCTCTGTTGACAGCGACCTGTTTCGGTGCATGTCTCTTTAACCCTTTCACGCGTACGATCACACCGGTGTGATCAGTCTTGGCTGGACCCTGGAGCGTACGATCACACCGGTGTGATTAGAACGGTCAGTGCATCACGTGATCAACTGCTAAATTCAAACGTGCTTTCGCGCATTGGCTGGCGCTGAGCCATTGACGGACGCACTCAGTGCTGTCATATATCACAACTATTGAGTGTTTTCAACCACATAATGTTTATTTTAGGTTTCAGACATTTAAATACACATACTGGTAAGTACTAGCAAAACAATGATTTTGAGTTTGTAAAATACACACTGATGTCTATGGAAGCGGCAATAATAATCCTTTCCATTATAATAAGACGACACGTTTTATTCATATCAGATACACATTGTGTAAGTAGCTTTACATTTGACCCTATTCTTCTCCCAGTTCACCGGCCACTTACTTTCATGTATTTCGTGAGAAGTGGAGGAATTGACGTGTTGTAAATCCAACAGATCCGATTCTCTGAACGCCGCCCATTGTGCATACAGCTTAACTAACGCGATCGTTAAAAAGATGTTTAAACAACAAAACCCATCCACTTGCACATATTTGACAATCGGAATATCAGTGTTTCATGCTATTGCTAATACATTTGTGAATATTTTTAATAAAAAAGGAAAAATTACATAAAAGCAGATCGTCATTCGTTCAGCGCTGTGTTGTGGTTGCGCTGTGTCACGTGACAAGCAATGATGCGTCACCATGGAAACATTAAAGTGACAAGTTCTAAATAACGGTCGCCTTGAAAAACTCACGCTGGGGGGTCAGTTAGAATATTTTAAACTTATGTGTGAAAGGGTTAAATGATAATGAGCAACTGCTCACCCCACCCCTCTCTTCCATGGGGCGTGTCGACACAAAACACATAAAGCTGCCTTGGCGGACAATGTACAAATGGCTGAGGGCGGAAATATGCTAATATGGGACAGTCCGTCAGCGGTCGTGGCCAGAGCATGAGCAATATGACATCATATTGCTCAGAAAATCCAAACGGCTTGATCATTGAGAGTGTTTAGGCTTTTTGAGGATTAAAAAAAAGGAGTGAATGGATTTTTTTCATTGTATGGTGGTTGTTTCCACAGACTGCAAAGTCAAATGTATATGTAAACACCATATAAAAGTGAATTTTGCATCCGATGACCCCTTTAATGTTTCCAAACTTTTGACCGGTATCAGGGTGCGATTGCTAATGAGAGCGCCACACGGAAGTCCCGGGGAATATAAAGGAATGAGGACATTTCATTCTACCGGACTACCCGCAAGTGCTGAATTACTACTCATACAGGTCATACACGACCGTCCACACTGCGATTACGTCATTTTTGCCGCGCACACTTTCACACTCTTGCGGACACAGTAAGTATAAACCAGGCTTTAGGATCACACGTCCTCCAAATTGGAAAAAAAATAACCATCAAGCCTTCCTAAAGCCATCTCTGACATGTTTGATAAATGTCAGGAACTTCTGGAGTTCTGCAAACATCCATTCACCCGTCTATCCTATCTAATATATAATGGCTCCCCTTCTTTATATTTTGGCAGTTTGAAGACCCTGGGCTGCACTACCCTGGATGATCTAGCCCAGTTTGACAGCCAGCTTCAGCTCTCTCTGGCAGCGTGGGGCTATTACTACGAGGATTACATCAAACTGTCCACAGGCGTGAGGGTCCTCCAGGCATCTAAGGGAAGCAGAGATCAAGACTACGAGATTCAGCTGGTGCACAGCCTTGCTGAGAGGCGACTGAATGAGAAGTGGTCTTTTGGTATGTGACGTACTGTTGGAATTTATTCACATTTACATCAAGCTACTAAAAGAGGGAGCGGTATGGAAGTAAAATAATGCCAAATGTTTTTGAAACAAAAAACCTTGTTGAATTGCACTAATTGAAAAAAAATATGCAGTGCATTAACCGTGCTTGCATTTTAATGCATTGTTTTTTAGAGCTTGCGTTTTTTTTAGCTTAAATTCAACAAAGTTGAATATTTAAGCTCTGAATATTTCAACTCAAAACATTTCACACACATTTTCATTATTAAAAATTCTATAATCCATATTCACCTTTCAGATTTCACTTCATTCTGTTGTATTTTATTTCGCTTTACAAATTCGCTTCCACAAATTCAGTGGTTTAAATTCGACAGAAAATTCATCATTTCACATCCGGGAACTGCAGGAATATCAATTGATTGACGATTCATAATCTCCATCTGCTGTTAGTCGACCTCACTGGCAGTAGGTGCAAGTGGCTGTTGACAAAGACTACAGCAATGGGTGAGAGACTCATTCATTCATAAAAACTGATTTACAGAAATGGAGCAAGCGGTAAGTATTTGTGATGATTATCAGGGCCAGTAGCTATATATGGAACTCTGATAAAGACACAAAAGCACTTACATTTAAGTCTTTGCAGTTACTTTTGTACATGTAAGAAGCTTTCTCTACCATGAACGAGATTATAACGTTATTCCCCGATGCTTACATACAGATCAAACGTTAAATCTGAGTTCGTAGACATATATTTCTCTCGGTTGTTTAGTTTCCTAAACTGCTGTGCTGCACTGGGGCTTCCCTCGGGATTCCCCTGCCGTCCACTGGCACCTTATTGGGAATGTAGGCTATAGTACTATATAGGAACAGGGAAACAGATGGACTCAGAATATGAACGTAACGTGCAAAGTTTCATGCTAAGCGTTTCCCAGTGATATACTGGCATAAAGTTGGCTTGACATTAGCCGCGTTTACACTGCCGGGCCAGAGCCGAGCCGTGCTAGTGCGTGCCAGAGCCAGTCGCGTTTCCACTGTCACTTCCGGGGCTTGATCGGGGCTTACTCGGGGCCAACGGCCAGGATTTCTGGCCCGTCGCTTGGGCCAAAGCGGGCCAGCTCGGGCTAGAGGCGTGGTCAAGGTAAAAGGCGGATTTTATCGGTGTGGAACGTTATGATCTGAAGCAAGATGCACATTTCACTTTTTTTTTATCGCGCAAAATAATCGCTGCTCGAAATGGTGAATCGCCTGTACTGGTCTGTCGAAGATACCAAAGCTCTTCTGAGCATTTGGGCAGAAGAAAGGGTTCAACGTCAATTTGACGGCGTGTGAAGAAACGAAGACGTTATAAAATACATCAATGCTGAACTTTCTAAGCTAAGCATTCAGCGAGCAACGCTTCAAGTTCAGGGGAAAAAAAAGTTGCGGGCGCAGTATTGTACAAGGCGATTCAAACGCACAATGGACAAAGCGGAGCTCAGAGGAGGAACTTTCCAAATTCCATGGTTCGACTTGATGGACGGTGTGCTGGGTCACCGTCCCTCTGTTAGTGGCGACTCGCGAGACAATCTGGACACTATTGCAGGCTGCAGCCACGGCCGGTGAGTTAATATACATGCGATCTTCCTAACTTAAAAAATAAATAAATTCATAAAACCCGCTGAAATGGGTTGGGTTGTATGACGTTTGATCCAGAAAGGCGTGTTAGGGGCGGGGTTTAGGGCAGCGCTGCGGGGCTACTGGCCCGGCAGTGGAAACACATGCCCGGTGCTTGAGGCCCGAGGCCACTGGCTCGGCTTGAACATTTGATATTTGTAAGTTTAGGGACCATCTCTAAAGTTACATACAACATTGATATACAGATTTCTAACTTCAATAGCATTTGAAGAGAATGACTTACAGTCATAAAACCAACTGTAAAGTGTTCATGTAGGTGTCAGGCATGATGCACACCTTTTATATTGTTGATATTAAAATAAATATAAGCTCATGCGGTAGTCAAAAAATAGCAATAATTACACATGATTTGACAGTTTATTTTGTTCAATATCTAAACTCTAAAAGGTGTGCATATTGCGTGGGAAATGCATTACGCTCAGAGTCCATCTGCATGCCTGTAGCCTATATAGTATAGCCTACATTCATAATAAGGTGCAAGTATGGTCTTTTATATCACTGTATTAGTCTATTAAGCTATGAGTCCCAAGGGCAGGGGAATCCCAAGGGAAGCCCCAGTGCAGCACTGCCATAGAAAGTTAAGGAACCTAAACAACCGAGAGAAATAGTCTAGTAAATAATAAAGGTGAGCATCATGCCTGACACCTACATGAACACTTTACAGTTGGTTTTATGACTGTAAGTCATTCTCTTCAAATGCTATTCAAGTTAGAAATCTGTATATCAATGTTGTATGTAACTTTAGAGATTGTCCCTAAACTTACAAATATCAAATGTTCAATGTCAAGCCAACTTTATGCCAGTATATCATTGGGAAATGCTTAGCATGAAACTTTGCACGTTACTTTCATATTCTGAGTCCATCTGTTTCCCTGTTCCTATATAGTACTATAGCCTACATTCCCAATAAGGTGCCAGTGGACGGCAGGGGAAATACCGAGGGAAGCCCCAGTGCAGCACAGCAGTTTAGGAAACTAAACAACCAAGAGAAATATATGTCTACTGATATTCCTGCAGATGTCAAATGTTGAATTTTCTGTCGAATTTGAACCACTGAATTTGTGGAAGCGGATTTGTAAAGCGAAATAAAATGGACTGAAAATTGCCTGTCGAATATTATAGGTTGTATTTTTAAACAGAATGAACATTTTGGAAGTGAAATCTGAAAGGTGAATATGCCATCCATCCATCTTCTTCCGCTTATCCGGGGCCGGGTCGCGGGGGCAGCAGTCTAAGCAGAGATGCCCAGACTTCCCTCTCCCTAGACACTTCCTCCAGCTCTTCTGGGGGGACACCGAGGCGTTCCCAGGCCAGCCGGGAGACATAGTCTATCCAGCGTGTCCTAGGTCTTCCCCGGGGTCTCCTCCCAGTGGGACGTGCCCGGAACACCTCCCCGGGAAGGCGTCCAGGAGGCATCCGAAACAGATGCCCGAGCCACCTCAGCTGACCCCTCTCGATGTGGAGGAGCAGCGGCTCTACTCTGAGCTCCTCCCGAGTGACCGAGCTTCTCACCCTATCTCTAAGGGATCGCCCAGCCACCCTGCGGAGAAAGCTCATTTCGGCCGCCTGTATCCGGGATCTTGTCCTTTCGGTCATGACCCAAAGCTCATGACCATAGGTGAGAGTAGGAACGTAGATTGACCGGTAAATCGAGAGCTTTGCCTTACGGCTCAGCTCCTTCTTTACCACAACAGACCGGTACATCGACCGCATTACTGCAGAAGCTGCACCGATCCGTCTGTTAATCTCCCGTTCCATCCTTGCCTCACTCGTGAACAAAACCCCAAGATACTTAAACTCCTCCACTTGAGGAAGGATCTCTCCACCAACCTGAAGTGAGCAAGCCACCCTTTTCCGACCGAGGACCATGGCCTCAGATTTGGAGGTGCTGATCTTCATCCCAACTGCTTCACACTCGGCTGCAGACCGTCCCAGTGCATGCCGAAGGTCCTGGTGTGAAGGGGCCAACACGACAACATCATCCGCAAAAAGCAGAGACGAAATCGCGTGGTCCCCAAACCTGACACCCTCTGGCCCCTGGCTGCGCCAGCACATGTGGACTGGTTGGGCAAACTCCCATGAACCCTCCAGCACCCTGTAGAGGGTATAGAGCTGGTCCAATGTTCCACGGCCCGGACGAAAACCGTACTGTTCCTCCTGAATCCGAGGTTCCACTATCGGCCGTATTCTCCTCTCCAGTACCCTGGCATAGACTTTCCCAGGGAGGCGAGAAGTGTGATCCCCCTGTAGTTGGAACACACCCTCCGGTCCCCCTTCTTAAAAAGAGGGACCACCACCCCGGTCTGCCATCCCAGAGGCACTGTCCCCGACCACCACTCGATGCTGCAGAGGCGTGTCAGCCAAGACAGCCCCACAACATCCAGAGACTTGAGGTACTCAGGGCGGATCTCATCCACCCCCGGTGCCTTGCCACCGAGGAGTTTCTTGACTACCTCGGTAACCTCAGCTAGGGTGATGGACGAGTCCACCTCTGAGCCCTCAGCCTCCTGCTTCCTTCCTCCTTCTGTCAGAAGACGTGACAGCGGGATTGAGGAGATCCTCAAAGTATTCCTTCCACCGTCCGACGACATCCCCAGTTGAGGTCAACAGCTGCCCACCTCCACTGTAAACAGCGTTGGTAGGGCACTGTTTTCCTCTCCTGAGGCGCCGGACAGTTTGCCAGAATCTCTTCGAGGCCAGCCGATAGTCCTTCTCCATGGCCTCACCGAACTCCTCCCAGGCCCGAGTTTTTGCCTCCCCAACCACCCGGGCTGCAGTCCGCTTGGCCTGCCGGTACCTGTCAGCTGCCTCAGGAGTCCCACAAGCCAACCAGGCCCGATAGGACTCCTTCAGCTTGACGGCATCCTTTACTTCCGGTGTCCACCACCGGGTTCGGGGATTGCCGCCTCGACAGGCACCGGAGACCTTACGGCCACAGCTCCGAGCAGCCGCTTCGACAATGGAGGTGGAGAACATGGACTCAGACTCAATATCTCCAGCCTCCCTCAGGATCTGGTCGTGGCTCTGCTGGAGGTGGGAGTTGAAGATCTCTCTGACAGGAGATTCGGCCAAACGTTCCCAGCAAACCCTTACAGTACGCTTGGGTCTTCCGTGTCTGTCCAGCTTCCTCCCCCGCCATCGGATCCAACTCACCACCAGGTGGTGATCAGTTGACAGCTCCGCCCCTCTCTTCACCCGAGTGTCCAAGACATACGGCCGCAGGTCAGATGAAACGACCACAAAGTCGATCATCGACCTACGACCTAGGGTGTCCTGGTGCCACGTGCACTGGTGGACACCCTTATGCTTGAACATGCTGTT